CTTTGTCTCTTTCCCGGGCCAGGAGGTCACCTGATCCCTTTGTTCTCCAACACCTTCAGTTGGCACCTTACGGGGGGGGGGGGAGCACCCAGGCCATCAATTGACAGGAGGTCGGCCATTCTTTGTGCCGACCCCATCACACCTCTCTCTCGGGCTCTGCAACACTCACACCCCCTTATCCCCCCACCTCGATACTTAAGAAAGGCATAGGGGAAACTGAGGCACCCACCCAGTATTCAGAGAAAACATTAAGAACATTCCCACGTCGTCACAACAGGTATAAACTCAAAAGCAACATGCTTGTGGGACTGTCTTGTCACCATCCCTAGCACGCACTACAGTTTTTTCCACAAATCAGGTATGTCCCCCATGTTCAAAGGCTCTACCATTAAACATCAGCCTTGGCAGATGTCCTAGAATCTCAGGAGGTTCTAGTCCAACCCCCTGCTCAAAGCAGGGCCAATCCCCCAATGGCCCCCTCAAGGATTGAACTCACAACCCTGGGTTTAGCAGGCTACTGCTCAACCCACTGAGTTATCCCTCCCCCCACGTTAACGCCTTTGTCTTGACCCCTAGATGAAGTAGCAAAAGACACACGATTAACAGCCAGTTTCTGACGGACAGACTTCATTCACACAGCCTGGCTTGGCCAGCGTCCACTGTATTTCTCAGTCCCTCCGGGCACCACGGTAGGAGACAGATTCTCCTGCCGCTTTGGGGAAGGCTCTCAATTCAGGCATGTGTTTGGGATTTTGGCAAGGAAAGGGTGCGCTGCAGCCATGCCTGCCCTCGGCCCCTCCCTCTGGAATCTCTTTGGGTTGGGCCCCACCTGCTGCGAAGTTTCCCTAAGGCACAGTTTTTCTTCCTCCTGCCTTACAAACCTGGCAGGAACATCTTTTCATGGGGTGCTTTGGATTGGTAAGATCCCCCCAGGTCACCCCACGCTCTGATCCCAACAGGTCAGCTGGGTGGACTCTCCCCTCAAAACCTGATCCGCAGGGGAGGGGTCTGGCATTTCTGGGAAAATGCCTTCCTACAAAAGGCGGGCAGACCCTCCTGTCCATCCTCCCCTTCTGTCTGGACTTCCCCCTGTGTCCTCCAAAAGGGAAGGTGACCCTGATCCAGCTGTGGGCTCCCAGCTATGACAGACCCTTCACTGGCCAGCCCAATCCCCC